AATGACATATGTAGCCTCTGATCTAGGGACCATATTTTATCTGAATGAACTGGCACTTTCTTTTGATAGTGTGTGTCCAAACTAATGAGTCTATATGTTTACATAACTGTTCATCCACTCTGACAATGAACACATCATCAGACTAATCAGGTGCCTCCCTAGCACTCCTCTGTGTGATAGATTTTTCTCCGGCCATGGGCTTACGGCAACACTACCACAGTCTTCCCCTCCGTTCCGTCAAAGAGAGAAGGATAAACTACTGGTTTTAGGGTTTGCTTCGAAATGGCCACTCACCTACAGCCTACAAATGAGATGTCCAATCCAGGTCACGGCACCACTTGAAGAATCCAAACCCTGACCCAAATCAGGCGAACCAGCCGTATGTCTGGAAAATTGAGTTTATTCTTTGCGCGCAGGTACCAGACACCTAGCCAACCCCTAAGACAATGGGCTGATGCAGTTTTATAGCTGGACTAATGCCAAGATTAGGCTTAGCCTACATATGACAAGTGACAGGTGTGACAGAAATGACCATGTGGAGATAAACAAAAATCAGTCACAGTACAGGCACACACAATACTGAATATAATGACATGTAATACAACACTAAACACATTAAACAGCAGTACATTTCTATACCGCAAAGTACTATGAATGATGTCAACCAGTTACTTTCCCTCCACTTCAAACATTTTTCAGCCAACTTTTACAATTGCATATTTTCTCTACAGATTTTCTGTATATATTTGTGTTATTACTGTACATTATAGTTTGATGTATTTAGATTTTGCTGTTTGTTTTTCTGCTTTCATGGTTCATATTTTTACACCTTGTTTACTAGCAAGTTGCTTAGCAGTCATAGTACAGTGAAACTCTGGTTATTAAAAAAGAATTATTTTAAGAATTATATTAATCCTCATAGGGATTATTTTACAAAAAAGTGGTCCTAATAGACAAACTTGATTACTGAAAGGGAACTCCCAGAGTGTATATTTATGTTTAGACTCTATATGGGGGAGCCAACCGTAGCACAGAAGATAAAGGAGAATAAGAGATCTTTTTTCTCATTTTTTGTTCTACATTTTTTATGTTACTAAAGTTATTTCATTTAGTTTGCAAAATTTCTGTTTTTTAAATGCCAGTGATGTACATTTGCAAAGAATCTCCTCTTTTTGTCCTAGGTCTCCCTGTCATTTTTTAAACAAATCATAGACAAACTTGGGAAAGAAAAGTTTTTTTCACATCACTTTGTAATTTGGAATATTTGAATGTATTAAGATGTTCATGTTGTCTACAAATTGTATACTGTGCCACAGAATGTCATGATCTGATCTGTGTGTAATTCACAAAAGCTACATGTAAGCTAACGTACCAAATACTTGGCTGCAAAAAACCACCACAATTCCGTATGTCTTGTCTTTTACCCTGGCCTTGACAGATTGACAACCTGCCCAAAGTTTTAAAATCTTTTAAATATCATTTCTTCAGAGGAGAATTTGGTGAATGAATTCATGATGATTCATCATAAGACAAGAAAAATCTGTACTGATTCATTAAAAATCCAGTCACTTGCTGGTGCTGTTTGTGATTATGATGAAAATGATCATTTCAATCTTAAGGGTGATAAATACGGCAAGTAACTAAATATTAGTAATGCTCATGATGTTGGTTATGACTAGGAGTGGGAATCTTTAGGCACCTCATGATTCGATTCGATTACGATTCAGAGGGCTGCTATGCGATTATAAAACGATTATCGATGCATCTTGATGCATCTTTTTTTTCTATACAGGATTTCTATCTTCCTACTGTCTGAGAACTTGGTAATGTTATAGCGAAGTATTTGTAATGATCCATAATGAATTTACTTCCAATATATTTTCTTAATAAATCAAATGGAAGTGATGTGGCAAGTGAACTAGAAGGCTCTCATTCACTGCTCTTGTTTGGAGCAATGAGACACAGGCTGCCACTCATCTGTGATAAAATGCGCTGTTCTCGCTTGGCCAGTAGCGTACGAAAAGACAGAGATTTAAGACGAACATTTGGAGACAAATGGACTTATTTGCATTTATAAGCGACGTAGTTGGTTTCCTGGTACGTTAAATCTGCAACGAGAGACTGTCAAACACTAAAAAGTTGCAAAGATGAAGTCGCATCTCTTTCAAATTTTTCTGTTCCACCTTAAATGGTGCAGCAGTTACATTCAGCACCTCAGGCAGAATTTAAGGTGGAACGGGAAAATTTGAACAAGAAGCTGGAGAATAAGAAGCGACTTCAGCCTCGTAAAACAGTCAAACGTTAAAGGAGACATTTTAGAAGAAACTGATCTACTTTTGAAGAAAAGTTTCCGAGGGAAAGGGGAGGAAAGTGGCTATAGCTAAAGCTTAAAGCAGAGCAAAGCAAGTCTGAACTCTCGTTTATATATTTAAGCCTATACTAGGACATTATCACATGCTGAGACATACTGGACATTAAATGTTGTGGCTCCCAGGGTGGTTTGACTTTGTTGAAAGGACAAAATGGCTCTTCTTATCATTTGTGTTGTGACTCCTGATCTAACCTGGCTTTAATGCAGAGGGAGCCGGTCGAATTTCTCACTCATCCAGTTATGTTTTTGTTATGTGCCACCATAGACTGTCCGAGCGCTGCGCTTACCCACTTCCAAGTTCCGCCGTTTACGTTCCGTCAACATTACATTATAAATTAAATATTTAGAAGATCGATTTTTTTAAATTTATAAATCGATTCAGAATCGTTCACGTCCGCATCACGATGCATCTAACAGTCGAGTTTTCTCCCACCCCTAGTTATGACTATGACAAGGAGGAGGAGAATGATAATGATGATAATTCTTAATGTAGGTGTGAGATGTACAGTCTGAGCAAACAGACCTATGAGCATGACGTTAAAGCCTGTGTAGCAGAGAGTGTTGCAGGGACATCACCTCTACAGACCACAGATCAGATATACCAAGCTGTGAAAGCATGCTGGCACAAGGTAGCCATATCAGATTTCTGTTTTTTTCTTGTATCTCTTTATCTCTCTCACAAACATAAACATTGAAACTGAGAAATTTTTAAGCAGGGCATTCATATATCATTTCAGTTTCTATCAGCTCTGTACAAGAGAACAAATCTCACTGTCACATTCATAATAGCACATTTGAATTCTTGAATGTTGAGCAACTTCTGCTGTTTTGGTTAATTTTACAGCTGTATTTTAGGGCTGGGCAGTATGACAGTATTTATCGTTATGCTGATAAATGATGGCACAACATGTCACAATATACTTTAGGAATGTATTGTGGATAACATCAGTACTTAAAAAACACTACCCAACTGCATGTTTGATTACAAAGACAGCATAATTAAATTCTTAATAATTGGATTTAGTACTGCCCAGTATATGAAATATTTACTATAAACCATTGGAGTCATAGTTTTTGATTTTTTTTTTTCTAACACGGTCTTTTCCAACCTATTTTTACAAAATATGAGCCTGGAGACTGAACAAACAGGCAAATGTATTGGCTCTGGAAATCTCTATTAATCAGCTTATGTCTGTTTACTGTTTAATATCAACATTATGTTTTTTTAAGTTGATCATTTAAAGGTATATTTTAATTTCTTTATCAGTTAATTCTTACCTGCTGCCTTCTACCATGTTCTGTAGCTACAGCCAGGAAAAATGTAAACACTTCATCAGTCACAAGACATTTCATATTAATATAATGGTGTTTCTTTTCACCTGCAAAAAAGTTAATGAACATCAACTAAGTGAACAAGCTTCTATGCAAAGTCTGACCAAAATTATGTCTAACTATTTTCATCAAGTCTCATGTTCGATATGTAAAAACTAGAAGGAAACCTGGCTACTGTCTGTTGTCTATTCTTTCTTTTCCTTTTCCCTTTTCCCCCTTTGTCTTTTTTTTCGCTTCTTCTCTGAATAATATTTAAAGTGAGTCTGGGAAATTATGTAATAGGGCATTCATCAAGCACATGTGACCAATGTGTGTGCTTTGTTCTCTGTTTCCAGCTTCCAGAAGACAGGCCCAATTTTCATCTACTTTTCAGTAACATCAATCTGCAGTCATCACATTACATATACTCGCAATACATTACTAACTCCAAGTTCTCTTGATATTAATGGGAGAACCTGTATGACGTCTCTGTCATTACTACAATACAGTAAAACTATTAATTTCCATGCCGTGCACAGTAAAACCTGAATAGATTGTTAATGTGCTTTTGTATATTAAAATAAGAGAAAGTACAAAACTGTCCCTCTGTAGAAAATCAACATCCACCCAGGATCAGAAAAGAAAAGATCTAGAAACAGGTTTGGTTCATTTCTAAAGCCCACGTTTGGAGTTTCACCTGAGAGTGTGAGCAGTTTCACATGAGCTTGTGGTTTTTGTCTCTGTGACATTTCCTTTGCCCTTCTATATGTGGGTTTTTTTAACAACCTTCACACCACTGTTCACTAGAATTCAGGTCAACCTAACTAGTTTGTGTTTCTTTCTATTATGTACGCTTTTTACCCCACCATATAAAACCCACTCGTGCCTCAGGTTGTTTTCTCTGAAACTGTGCAGCTCATACTTGTACTGCAAAACACGTGCAGTGGTGTTTCCCTCAGTTGTGCTTGTGAATAACCTCAACATAGTGGCCCTGTTGCAGGTGTAGTAGTAATTACAGGGAAGAGTAAAAAGATGAATTACTTGTAAAAACAATTCTGTAAATCATACATATTAGACCAGAGATGCGTTATATCCTCATTTTTATATCCCACTCCATTCTTTGTTTTTCATATATACTTTCTCACCCAGAGCGTACCTTCCTGTTTTAAAAACAGAGGTACATTGTTTCTGTTGCTGGTGGCATAGTTGCTTGTTCCTCTCCTGCGGCTATGCACTGCTTCCTCATTTCTCGACAAACCCTTACAATCCGATGATGTCACCTCTGAATATATTTAGTGGTGCCCTGCCCACTTTCTTGCTGTATATATGTGAGAGAGGTCTTGTGCTCCTGCCAGAGTTGTTAGCATCTGCCAAGGCGGGAACATGGAACAGGTACAGAACAATCATTATTTATCATTCTAAATACTCAACCTTTCTGTCTGTGTGTCTCCTTGTCTGATATTTGGTTGATTGCGACTAATGAAATATTTAAGAAAAAGATGCCTTGAATCACTGCAGTTAACTTCAGCTTATTCAGTCACTCTTTTGCTAAAACCATTAGACTTAGACCATTAGACCATTAGATAATATAAAACCGATTCAGTTTCGAAATGATTCTTCTGTTTCAAACATTGCGTTTGAGAATTGTGCTCGTGCTGTTTTCTAGGCCAGTCTTCTTTGTGGGGGGGTTTCCCTTCTTCACACTATGGTTGATGGGAAACACCACTATGAAGTAAAGAATGTTTTGACCCATATACGAAGTACTTTTGCCAGGTAAGATCAACTGCACATTTCACCAGTCATGCACCTCCATTCAGAGTGGCTGCATCAATCAGTGAAACACATGTTGTATGTGCTCAAATTACGTCTTTACATTGCAACTATGTAACATTTTATACACTTAAACTGTTTAGACGTCAATCCTGATATTGGCATTCATTCAGTGCCAGTTGACTTTGTAACAAAGTCAGTTCTTTGTGTATGTTAAGTGGGTTGTAAACAACCCTGCACAATTCAACACAAAAGTTTAACCCTTTAAATTATCCCTAAAATATTGCACAGTAATTACTTGGAAAACAGTGCAAACAGTGTAACTTATTTTTAAGTTTCTGAAATGTGGAATAGGATCTTGGACTAGCTTGCCGGCCCAGGCCATTTAATTGACTTGAGTGAGTTGCTGTGCAGTAGTTTTATTCAGTATGTGAGTTAGTTAAGGCTGAACGTTACTTGTTTTTTCATATCAAAATCACAGTTTCAAAGAGTGTGATTTTTCACATAAGCTGCAGTTTTATATTCGTCTTTCCCTTAACCTCATAATACAGAGCATGCAAAATAACAGTTATGCAGAAAGTGCCCATTCTGCACTTTAAGTCATGCACATACATGTGCTGTAACTCCTCTGCCAGAGGATTTCAAGAGCCCATATCCCATTTTTTCTTGTATTTTTTGTTCCTCAGAGATGCACTTATGAAGTTTGGGTGGTTTTACATACCAAAAAACAGCTGTACTTCATTTTTTCATAATCATTTTCTGACCTTTCTTGGAATTAAGAAACTTCTTGGGCCTTTAGGACTGATGTATGTAAAATACTCCTGTTCTGTACACTGCAAAACTTCACCAAAATTTACATACCACATCGAACTTTAAAAAAAAAAAGAGGGAATTTGGTTGTCCATGCTATGAGCCTCAGATTCTCAGAATGGATTGCCGGTGAGACACTTGCTTCGATAGAGTTACTATGTTAATATAAACTGACAAAGAAAACAGGCTTATTCATTAACATTTTGAAAATTTTTGTCCCCAAACTTTGACCGGTGTTGTACAATGTCCACAGTTTACACTCTGTAGAACCAGTTTATCCCTTTCTATGGGATTTCATATACAATGCAGCTGTTGTAATAACTTCACTTTTTTGTCCACCTTTTTCATTCTGCAGGAAGGGAGACAAAATCTTGAAGATAAATGATGTGGAAACTAAGGATTTGCCCCCAGAGGAGTTTACCAGCATGCTAAGTTCAGGATTTTTCTCCCTGGTGAGTAGTTTTGGTTGCACAAAGAAACACAAGAAGCAAGGTCAGAGCTGTAATCAAGTCTGAAATTTTGGTTTGAACCTGAATACAACTTGATACCTTTCTGTTTGAGTCTGACCTGTAGCACTAAGTTTTGTGTCAGAACTCAGCCCAACAAAATTTTGTCCAAATCTGACACAATCTGCATCATTAAGTTTTGAGTATGACACTGAAAAATTCTGCCCAAAACTGTCACATCATGCCCCAACTACCAAATAAAACCTGATATTTCTAATCATAGCACTGGTTAAATTACGGTGTAGCAACAATAATAGCCAGCATTAAATCATGTTTACAGAATAATAAAAAAATAAATAAATAATCAGCTATCCAAAATGATATTTAAATTATATGGAGATAGCAAGTCTTGACATATTGCTGCCAGAAACAGAGCAAAAAACATGCAGTTTTTGTCCTACACCTGGCAGGAATGGGCATCCATATGTGGGCGTGATGAAGCTCCGTACTTAATTCTGTCTGTATATGTGGTTTGAGACGCAGCCATAGAACGCACCCACACTTCAAATGAAAATCAAACCTAATAAAGCGCTGATGTTGCTAATGATTGTAATGGTAATTGTAATTGGTAGAAATGTTCTATATAAAATGTTTCAGTGAATTTATACAGTTTGGAGGCTGTGCAGATAACGTTTCCTAAATCTCTGTTACTTTATTAGATATCATATGAATATATTCTCTAGGCTTGTCTGTGTAGTTGGTCATGGATGTATGGCACCCGTTGAAGCTCCACTGTAGAATGGGCAAAGTGGGAGGCAGGCTATGAGAATGTGAAATATGAACCTGAGATAAGGCCAACACATATTTGAGAAATGCAGTCAGGGTCTTGTCAGGTTCAGACATGTATTTTAAACTCTGTTATCAGGTAACTGACAGTATATAGATAAATGGTTTAAACAGTCACTGGGCAACTGCTATGTTTCAGTGTGATGCTGATGCTATTGAAAGTGATGCCATTTACAACTGTTAGTGAGTGATTGGATCTATTCTGTTTCTATTTTTCATGTGCAGTTTTGATGTGCACACACAAACCACAGACACACGTACACACATGCAGACACACAAACACACTTCAGTTCTGTGAACTGTTCAAAAAAGTACTGAAAGACAGAGAAGTGAAACAAATAGCCACACTGAGTAAGTACAAAAAGGACTGAAGTTTGTACTTGCACAACCTTTTTTCATAAAGCAACAGGGCATTTGAAGAGAAGCCACTTTTGAGACTCAGATTGTGGTTAGTGATATCAAAACTTACACAAGCTTTTTTTCTTCTGTTCACAGACTATACACCAAGCAAGCATCAAAAACGACATAGGCGAATGTATGGAGTCTGACGCCATGCGACCTTACCGCAAGGAGAAGATCACCTTGCACTTCAGTATGGCTATGGTTAGAGAGGAGTGTCTGGAGGGAGAAGAAAATGGAATGGATCCAGCCATGAGTGACTGGGAGAGCGACTACACTGAAGATGACCAGGAACTGCTCCTTGTGTCCATGAAAGAAACCAGCATAGCGGTTATGAGTGGACGAGGCTGTGATCCTGAAAACCCCTGCAACAATTGTGGCTCTGATGGGTGCAACCTCAATGAAATTGTTGTGGCAGCTGACACGTGCAAAGTTACATCAGGTAAGAGTTCATCACCTAAAGGGTCACCTAGTCAACTTCTTTTAACACCTTCACGGTGGTCAGTGAAACTGGTGCACATGTAGCCTGTAACATTTTTTGAAAGAAGGGGGAAATAACAGTTATATTTCTTTAACTAATTGGTTTATTTTGTCAGTATGTGCTCAAATTACTAAATTTAGTACTTTCTGAATGCTCTTGACCAAAATAATGTCTCTTCTTAGGCCTGTGAAATATAACAATATTTATCGTTATTGTAATAAATCACAACAAAATGTCAGAATATGCTTTTCTGAGCATATTGTGGTTACCGTCACTACCTCTCAAACACAAAACAATTGCATATTTCATCATAATGAGAGCATAATTAGTTCCATTTGATTTAGTGCAGTGCAGTTTGTGAAGCCTTTCAGAAAAATCATAAAAATCATTGTTATTCATAGTATTTTTTAGTGGCATCATTGGTTCTTTTAACCATCTGTTCCGACACGTCAGAAAAAATAGATATTAAAATAGATGAAAAATTCTTAAAGTATTATGATACTGTATTTTTGTGATATCTCATTCCTATAATGTTTGAAGTGGCTGAATGAAACATGTAGGTCTAATATCTTCTTGAGGAAGATCTCCAAATCGTCCACGTCCTCTGTCTTTGCTTGAGTACTGTCCACTTCATGATTAGATTTAGATCAGAGGACTGGGACAGCCTGGTTAGGAGAGCAATTTGTTGAATATATGACATTCACATTTAATAAGCTTGAAGGTCATATGGCTGTATAAAAGTACAATATTCACCGTATGGCTAATTAAGGGGTTTGGCTGTTTTAGGCACACCCATTGCTAATTTCTGAGAATTGTCAGTCATTTCAACTAATCGTCAAACATGAAGACATCTAAGAGTCATTTCAGGAAGTGCGAAATGCGCAAAGCCAAGATTTTTGGAAAGGTTGACGCTTTAACTACTGAAGTGTAAAAAAAAGACTGCCATGATGAAACTTTGAAAGAACTCTCGTAAACAGCCACTTCACACAGTGACGCTGTAACCGTAATGGATTTCTGCAAAGTCTTTGTGCAAATGTCAAAGTGTTGACAGCGATATGCAAGGACATCAAAATGCAAGGAAGGCCGACAGAGAAGAAACAACACTGGTTTACATGGGATACCAGAAGGAGCCAACTGAATGTGTCACTCGCATGCTACAAGAATTACTTCAGCTGGAGAAAAAAGCCAAACTGGATCAAGAACATAGATCCCTATGGGCTAAATGATTCAGCAAAGCTTTAACTCAGTAGCCAAGAGATGGGCAGAATTAACCATCAGCATCGCAACTACTCAGGAATCAAGTTTGGGCTTTAGAGCTGAGGATCGCTACCCCAGATGGCTCTGTCAATATGAGGACTTTATAACCAAGGCCTTAACAAACACCTAAAGGCAAAGGTGAATAACTGATTGCCCAGTCAAGATGGACATCAGCAACCTGATGGTCGCACGTTTATCAGTTGGACACTGAAGGCCCAAAAATCAACCAATATAACCAATAAACATCTTTAACATTAAATCACAATACACTTTCAAAGAGTGCACTGGACAAATATTACACAGTATGTCTAATTGCAATTTTCGCACTCTAGTGATTTTTGGAGCCTGTTTTATCAACAGAGGGGAAGTTTAACCTTCTAACACTGAGTTTATACACCGTCTGTAGATGAGTTAGAGGAGTCAAAGACAACTAAACACCCACATAATGCGCTCATGTGGCACACTGTGTTCAAGCCTTAAGCTAGAAAAAATAGATATGCCACAAATAGGCCCGGATCTCAGTTTATAAAAGATAATTGCAACTTATATTGCAATTATAATATTGGTCAGAAAAATTGCAATTAGATTGTCCAAATCCTGCAGCACTACTATGCCTAATGTCAAGTGTCAGTTAGAATGATGTGAAGCTCACCAAAACTGACCTCTGGAGTAGTTGGAAATATGTTGGAATATGTATGAGAACTTAAATGGCCAACACTGAGCCCTGGCCCTTAACCCCATCTGACAACTTTGTGATAGTTGGAACAGACTGTGAGCCAGGCCTCATGACCTGACACAGTGCCCGAACTCACTAATGCTCATGGGGGCTGAATGGAAGTAAATCCTCACAGTTGTGTTCCAAAAGTGTGTAAGCTGTTTACTTAAAATACTTAAAATAATTACTTTAAATACACAACACCACTTGTTGGTAAGTTAAATGAAAATAGTTTAATTACAGACACTTAAATTTGACAGTAGTGTGTGTTTTCCTCCCATTTGCAAAGCCAAGCTCAAATAAAAAGCTTAATGTCATGGTTGGTGTAATCTGTGGATTAAATTTTCTTTTAAAATAGCTTTAACTAGGCTGTAATGTGCATTTGGTGGGGGTGTCCATCAAGCATCTGTCTTATCACATTCCCATTCTGTCTTTTTTTTTCTTTTTATTTTTTTTCATATTTGTGTTGTCTATAATGGTTCTTTAAAATGTTGTACAAATACGTGTTTTAGGTTAACATTAATTCTGGCAACAGATTCACATACAGAAATCAGTTGGTTACGGAGTAACTTTAGCAATGAACTATTTGAAAAGCAAGGGAGATAAAAAATATATATTTTTTTAATCCTTAAACACTGAAACAGTATAAGCTACTTTAATTGAAATTTATCAGTTACATCTGTGTGCCAGTCATACTCTGTTTTAATACCTAGTGATATTGTGGTAGAGACTATTGAACGTCTTTTTCTTCAGTTGGTAGGGAATACATCAAGAAGTTTGGCGAACAAAAACAGTGGATCAGCCTTGTAAAATCCAACCCCGATCAAACTTCCTTGTCAGGTCAGTAAAGATTCATATTATATCATTTTACAAGCGGTTTTTGCTGGCATAACGTAAAGCATTATGACACATAAGCATATTGTTTGTCTTTCAGCGGAAATCACCATCTACTACTACATGTCAAATATACTACCAGATCTTGGTAGAGGTGCCCCTGTTGTACTGAACTTCACTGACTCCGATAACTTCCTGAAATGCTCATTTGAGAATGGTGAAGTAGTTTTGAAAATTGAGGTAAGTTGTAATTTGTTTAATTGTATGTCTTCAAATATATACATAGCAATAACCTATAGAGTGGCTGAAGTTCATTCTTCATGACATTAACATTAAATTCACCAGTTTAGGCCACCTTGTCAATCTAATCGTCAAGACTGACCAGGGAGGTTCAAAGTCCATATAAAGACCAAAATCTTTGGTGGTGGCTAATAGTACAGTCTTAAGGTGTTTTCACATATAGTTCTTTTTAAATGAACCGAATTGAGTTCTGTTAAAGTGAACCTGAAAGGGAACAAACTGCAAATGACCTCAGTTCTTTTTGTGTTCACAATGTAAGTGAACTATAAAGAGGACTCAGTTCTTTCTTGTCCTTTGAGATATCAGACCACTTTTTGTTCAGCTTCATTAGAACTCAGACCCCTTTCAAACCACTCACAGTGTGCGCAGATCTCGCCAAGTTGGCAGCATTCTCTGATAAATCTAACCTTTAGGTGGCGAGAGGAACTATCAAACATTCCTGCTGCTCTTCTGGACAAATGGCCCTGCGTGTCTGCCGCAGTGGGCTCCGTTTTCTTGTCACAGATCACTGTGACAGGCTTTATCCTGAGTAGAACCTTATAAGTGACCCTTGGTGGTCTGTTTTTACCTGCTGAAGTGCTGAGTGCTGTGGCTGTGTGTGCAGTGATCCTTAAGGTCTTCGCCATAAAACAAAGCAAAAGCAGTCTGGGGCTGTTTTGTTTTCACAATGCACAAATCAATCGAACCTCAAAACGAGCTACAAATGAACCGAACTAAAACCACTTGGAAATTGGTGGTCTCAGTTCGGTTCATTTTTTGGGCCGTTAAGAGGGGTCTGAGTCATTTGGCGTGTTTATATATGCACAGAAAACCATGACTCAGCGGTCTGAGTCCACTTCAGACACTGAATCGGCCCGAGTGTGAAAACGCCCTTGGAGAGGAAAGGGCAGTGCAGAGTGAGACTAAGACTGTATTTGAGCAGATTCAAAAAGGTACAAACAAAACAAAGTGCTACTGGTAGAAAAATAAACATAAAAATATCACAGGTGCTCTATGGAGTGGGATTAAAAACTGGAGAACGAGTGAATATCCATGGCACTCTTCATTCGTTTATCATTCACTTTTTCTCACTGTTTAATTCCGTTTTAATTCCTTGTATACATTTTGTTATTCAGTCTTTAAAGCCCTCAGTGTGGGAGAGCTGTTTGTCTTTCTTGATTTGTGGTCTAACTAAACTTACTGTATTGGATATTTCAGTGCTGTGGTGAAAAATCACAACTGAGGAAAATCTGTAAGGATGACAAGGAAACATGGCCTTTTGTCTTCTACATGACGACTGCGAAGGACAACACGCAACACTTCGAGTCAGCTGCACACAAAGGTTGGTTTATACAGACTAGACCAGCCAAAATCTCCGTGGACATGGAAAATAGACCAGAACAAACCAAGAAAAGCCTTCACTTCCTTATCTACTTCAATTCCAAATCACAGTGAGGACATCTTTTTTTTCTCAAGAGAGGCCATAGTAATTCACCATTCCAATACACATGGGGTTCAGAGTTGAACTGAATTAATTCTGTAAATGTGAACTGACTGAAATTATCACAGTTGTTAGTATAAATCAGCAGCAGCAAAAAGGTTGAAGTTGCCCTTTGACACTGACTTGTCAAATACTTATTCTTCACAGAGTAATATTAACCTTGTTAATAGTAATGGTCCTCACATCATTCATTATGAGATACAGTGTCACTTTTGGTGTAAATATTCTTTTAAAGCTTCACTATGCTACATACATACATACATCATCTAAACCGCTTATCCTTCTGGGTCGCGGTGGGGTGCTGGAGCCTATCCCAGCTGTCACTGGGCGAAAGGCAGGATACACCCTGGACAGGTCGCCAGTCCATCGCAGGGCATTCACTATGCGACAGTAGCTCAAAATATTCATTTAAAATTCAGAAGTGTCAGGTCAGATGTTGCAGGAGGGTTTTGTGACGATGTCACATGTCACTACGTCACATGCACATGCTCAGAAAGATGGTCCGGCTCAATGTTTAGGTCTCAAATGTAAAATCAGCATTATGCTGATGAACATTGTATGCAAGCATTATGCTCCGCACATTGTATGCAATTAACACATTTCCACCAAAGAGGTCTTCAAATGCCCAAAACTTACACAGTAGTGTTAAGGTCAAGTCTTTTGATAAATTAATCCATTTTTGTATCAGAGATCAAAAGGCAGCTTCTACCCAGAGCTAGTTAAGAGCTGGGTTGCAAATTTTAACTGCCATTGCAGTAACAAGTAGTTATGTATCATACCACAATTTATTAATTTTCGTTTGTTTTTTTAATGAAACCTCTTCTTTCATCTGAGCCTTTATCTGTGCTCTTCTTTGCTATAAGCTATAAAGCACTTTGTATTTTGAAAACAAATTTATTCTGGATGAGAATTCACATTACTTTTGTGCCAATGTGCAGAAATGTTCATTTGTTTTGATACTACTAAAATGTAAAAAAAAAATGTTTTATTTCAATATCTATAATGCTGATAAATAGTATATTTACATAGAATGTGTCTATACAATTTAAGAATTTTATATTGTCTTCTTTTTTTTGTACATGAAACTGCAGTTTAGTGCATTATAAGCTTTTCACACACTTCATCTGTTAATGAATGTTACAGTAGGTGTAGATTTTCTTTTAATTGTTGTAATCATTTCTTGGTAACGTTTTTTGTGGTGGGAGGGTTTGTAGTCTGTTTCTGATCAGTTCTTTAAAATCCTGTTTGCTCACTTTCACTCTCAAAGGCTTTGTTTGGTATTCCGTCAGACGGTTCATCATACGGGTTTTCAGGCTCCTCAAGTTTCTTGGCTTGCCTGTAGATCAAAAAAGTTGATAATACATCAGATGTTATCACTGTTGCATCTTACAAAAGCTGGTTTAGGCTCCAACTGATGACATGTAAAAACGGATATGCAAATTGTATGTTTTTCGAAAGCTTCCTTATATTAACATTGTACAACTTAAATTGTATTGAACTAAATTGTGATGTTAGTAGTGCTATGTGTATCCTACTTTTTAAACATTTTTTAAATAAAAGTTTCAAACTCCAAAAATGTGTCTGCGTTTATGTACATGCTTGGTAATTAGTTTGCCTAGCAGTGTTTACATTATAACATTTGAATATATTTTTTATATCTTTTTTAAATAAAGTTTATAGACTCTTATTGATGTTTTTATAACTGAGGAATAACAAAATATAAATCACTTTACATGAAGCACTCAGTGATGGTTACAAAGAATTATAAGCATTAATCACAACTTTATAGGTCCCAGTTTGGAATCTCTTTTAGTAAAACTCTCCAGTAAAACTTTACCTAAACCCTACTATATAACATTTATATAACTATGCCATAAACATGTCATGCCAAATGTCATATTCCATCATTACTTGTGATGACAGACTGTGTTTAGTAACATAGGGTCATGTTACTATTACTGGTGATTGCTGTGTCAGATGCCATGTTGTTTGATGTGATGACAGCTTTTATGCAACACAATCTAAGAAGCGTTCCTCCGGTGGTATTTTCACAGTGTGCCTCCATTAAAGAACCATTGCTACCTATAACGCATCCTTTGCAGCGTACTTAGCTGTAGCTGTGGCCCATGGAGGAGCCTTCCTCTGCACCTAGCTGAAATCCAGTTTTCCACTCAACGGCCGTCTTGGCAATGCCCCTGGTCAGTTATTTCCAGTCATACAAGACTAGGACCAGGTTGCCTGTTAAGAGATGCAGCACGAAGCCTTACAAATATTTGTTTCTCTGCTCCTGGCCACAAAATGACAGTTGAAGTTGGACTGTACAAATTATTCAGCTAATATTGTGACTGTCTCCGTCTGCCGTCGCTCCCCCCAGTCACAAGTTGGGATTCAGCTTTAGCTAACGTTAGCTAGTGATGCTACCCCACTTTTATTTTTAATTAAGAGCTTTGTTTAAATTTTAAGCACCTTCGTTGTTTGTCGACTTCACTGCAGTATTAACTCAGTATTTACCTTTCATACTTAAATGAAAGCGAGAGAAACTGATATGGTGACAACTTTACACAGCCATGGCCAGAGGGCACTTTCTAGCAAATCCTCCATGTATGGAAGTGAATGACAACAGCTAAAAATGAAAAGTTAGTATACTTTGCATTTGTCCAGGACCTTCCTTTAATTTTAAGGGATGTATTTCATTCAAAAAACAAAGAAAACTACTATTTCCCTGTATATTTCCTTTCTTCTAGAGCAAACAGGCTTTGGGCTGTAGGACACTTGCATTACTGCTAATAGGTGCTGATTGGTTGGTAAGCTCTTCACTGTGAATGAAGTGGTTTGCTCTCACTAATGTCATGAACGTGCATGAGGCACCATTATAAAGTCCTATAACTGGAGTTCAAAAGCGCTAAAAAATATAACGGCAGTGTTAAAATGTTTTATACTGATTTGTGTTCAGGAAATAAATGCATTCTTCTGTATAAAATAAAGCTAACAAAAGTACCTTTCTACTGTGATGGCAGCACAACTACACAAACTGAAATTAGAACTTAACAGGATACAATTCAGCAAACAAGATTGGGTTAGAAATGCTTTACAGACTGACTAGAACGAAACAACATTCAGGTTAATCTGGCAAGTTCTGAAGTGTTGAGGAACCCGGGCTGTACCTGAGATTGCGGCAGGCTTATGGCTCTGCGACAGCACGGCAAAGCTGTTTTTTACACTGTACATTTGACATTTTGTTTGATATTTGATTTCTCTCTTAAAGTCTCATGAAATAAACTTCCAAAAATGATCAAACCTACATTTTCTCATTTCTGAGAAGACAGTGAAACAACTACGGTCACATGTATTTCAAAAATGTCTGTTGTTTATTATCATGAACATAATGTTTCGGAAACGCAGGTCTTTGCAGAATTAGTCTTTAAGCGGTGGTCTACAAAGTGTAAAACGCAGACTTTTTTTCCATGTATTTAGCTAAAAGAAAGCAAAATCATATCAAATCTCTTGTAGTAAAGAAAGGCCTACTACAAATCCCTGTTAAGTGAAACCGCTCTCTTTACTACAAGTGATTTTTGCAACAGTAATCTGCAATTCTGAAACATTATGTTCAGCAAAATTCAATGAGAGACTTTTTGAAATATATTCACTTGAAGTTTGTTATTTGTCTTTCAGCAGTGAGAATAGATAGGTTTGTTCATATTTGAGACAGAATGTTGAATATCCAGCGAATGTCCAGCACAAAATCCACTTTACCACGCTGTCCATGACACAAAAGAATGGCACTTTTTTGGAGGAAGGATTTGCCAATATCAAAGCAGAATTGATATAATATACAGGGCTTCTTTGCCTTACATTTTTAATTAATTTTGCAGAGCTGTTATGTAAAGCACAAGAATGCTCAAGGTATTATTTGTGTTATCACAAAGAAAATCACACAGCACTCGCCTTCAGTTCGCGCCTGTGACTGAATCACAGGCATAATGTTATTCTCCACCCTCACTGGGTTTTTTTTTTGCTTAAATATCACAAGTTCATTTTTGCTAAGTGTACTCTAGCAGAGACGTTATAAAGGAGGACATAGGTCACTATATGAATGGGAAAACTAGTAATGCTAAACGTAGCATCTGTTTGCAGAGAAAGTCCTGCCCTTCCATAAAAAGAACAAATCAGCTTGCTGGTTACGCCACGTGCGGAAAGCCAACCCCCACCCCAACTGGATTTTGGACTTTTGGACTTTGTCTCTAGTTTGTACTTTGTCTCTAGTTAGCCATCATGACATCAAACACTGAGGCATTATGGCATCTGCCATGACATTTACAGGTAATGGTAACATGGCACTGTTATATTACTGGACATTACCTTTCATGACAACTCATCACAGCCTATGACATTTGTCATGACTAGTTTATGGCATGGTTTAGAGCTGGGCGATATGGCCAAAATGTTATCATGATAAACAAAATTCATATCGTTCGATATCGATACATACCACGATAAATGTCAAATCATGATTTCTTTCAAGTTTGAAGGCTGATTTTTGCTCCTGGGTGGTTAATTGCTGTTTTAAACTATCCTTTATGTTCAGAACATGACAAACACTCGCCAAACAGTGGAACATTTCACAGATCTGTCATGGGAGAGTGGGAGAAAGTGTCCGGCGAGCTGTTTTTATCAGCTGGAAAAGCACGGCCTCAGTTTTTGTAATAGTCATAATTTAAGAAAGAAAAGATTATTTTTAGCTGTCTGGTGACGAGCGCTCGGCTATGCCGTTACAAACGCTAAACAAGTGGCCAACAATAGTGCTAAACTGTTTAGTTTCTCAACAACGTCAACTTAGTACGAACAGCAAACGTTAAGCTAGCTGGCTCCATGTCAGAGCATATCACAGTATTCAGACACCAGCTAGCAGACAACTGGATTTCTCTATTCTATCGTAGTAGTTTAAGGGATGAACCGCAAAATATCAACACCAGACAAACAGAGTCCTCCTTTTAGGTACGTTTAAACTGAAAGCGGTGCTTTTGTGTCCTGTTTGATCCACAGTATCATCAGTTCTCCATGTTGTGCAAGTGACAGAGCGCTGCTTCAAGTGAGCCAGCTGCTAAAAGCAGCTAGCCTGGAAAGCTAGCGCTCTCTTGCTCTCCAGTGCCTCACAGCTTCCTCAGATTACTTTTGTTTAAATCAGGGCTGTAATTTACATGAACCCACTTCTTTTTTCACTTTCGTTGCTTGGGAATGCACTTATACTTAAATATGGCTGCCCGAGCGCTGTAACAGCACTATAGTTGTGAGTATCAGCTGTGATTTAATGCTGCTAAAGCTGGTTAGGATATACAGAAAGAGGTGAGTTCGCTGTAGGACAGTACAGTCACACCACTGATCTCATCACTAACACTCGGTCACAGGAGAGCAGATCGCCGGTCACTCCACTCAGACAGGGAATGCATAGCTCCACGTTTCAAACATGGCTAAAGTATATTTGGCGACCCTTTTTTACTCGTCGCCCATTCCTCTCTAATCATGTAGAAAAACTCGGAAGTGCGCCCTCTCCTGGCGACAGCAGAGTAGTGTCACTTTCCTTTCAGTAGAAAATGCCACCAGGGCTTTCGCTGGAACGTGGAAGTGTGAGAATGGTGTATTATATAGAGAATTTATCGAACATGTCATATCGCTCTATCGAGGAAAAGTTATATCGCGATAATTATCGTTATCGTTTTATCGCCCAGCCCTAGCACGATTATGTCAGTGTTATGTAGCAAGATTTAAATAAAGTGTTACCAAATCTCCAATGTGCTAGTGCTGAAAAAGTAATTAAAAAGTCAGCAATACATGCTAACTGGTCACCAAAGTCTTGTGCACTGTTTAATTAGAATTCTAAGTGAACATAAGTTTAACCTTAAAATCCCAGGCTTAATACATATTCACTTATTATTCAGTAACTTCAGGGACCTTAATGCAAATTGGTTGAGCTATTCTTAAGGGGTTAAGGCTTATAATGAAAGCCATGCTGTCTTGGTTTTGGCCACAGCCTTAACACAATAACAAACAAATGAGATCTGTCAATAGAAAGTAGTATGTTTGTCTACAGCGTTTCACTTCTGTTCTCAGTGCTGACTTAGACTTTCACACTTATCGGTGTTTCCCTACCACGCTTACCTCTTTCTATTCACTGCCCCCATGACAACAAGGTAAATTCCCACACACACCACCAAGGCCATCACCACTCCAAACACAACCAGCCAAATGGTGACTGGCTGCTCAGCAGGGGGAGCCAAGGTGGCCCGCAGACCTTCAAACTCGAATGTGTCGTCACTCAGCTGGAAAATTCCATTAAGGCGTCCTCTGGACATCCTGTTTAGATGACATATCACGTTACATAAAGGGGAACTGTCCCATCAAGTGAACCACCAACTCGCTTTTTGCTGTGACTACTGCAATTGCAAAACCTCAAGAATTTTCCCACTGAATTAGGGGATAACCCAAATTTCAAAATATAATCTGCTATGATCAGCTAGATCTGCATTTTTGTACGTTCACACATACAGGACGGTCCTTGCCAGCAGATTGCATTATAATTGAAACAATTATTTTTCAACAATTTGCTGCTATCTGCAACCATCAACAACGCACAGATAAAGTCTCACCAGATAGCTGCCTCCACTTCAGCTTTAGGAATGATGCTGCTTGCATTGGTAGGATCAGTCACCACAAAGTAAAAGGAGATCCTTGGGGTTTCTTTATATGTGTAGATATACTCTGACCTGCACACATCAGTTCATATTAATTTAATCAAAAATCAGAAGATTAAAGAAGTACAGAAATTAAACTGTTACATACTTACATGAAATTGACTTCTTCTCCCTTCGTTTCTAAATAGTACTGTCGCATGGCATAGGCCATGGAGGCTTTGAAGAGGTACATCTCATTTTCGTTCCAAGTGTACTAAGAAAAAAAAATACTTGCAATGATTCCAGTACCATAAAAGGTAAATAAATCACTGTGTGTACAAAAAATATGAAAAACAAACATACTGCCTTTTCCCCCATGGCAGCTTTTAGACTCAGTCGCACTTTAATGGCATCATTGGAGTCTGTGAATAGACAAAATATATCATCAGCAATAAACTTGCTTTTATTTCACCATGATTCACATTTAATCAGATAAATACTATGATATAGTGACTTCAAAATGTTTCCAAAAAACAAGTCATGTGTCACGAATGTCACTAGCGAGGCAACTGACTTTATCACTTCCTACAAACCCTGATACACACATGGACTTCATCTCCCAGAATACACTGGGAGATCAGCTGGTTGAGGGTCTCCACACACGCTCCTATCAGTGTTCAAGATCGCCTGAGTTTTAATGTGCTGCTCCTGTATCTATGATCACATGACCCCATCAGTTTAGCTTTTAAGCCCGGGCTTTAGCAGTAGTTAGTTGCGAGGTATTGTTTCATCTGCAAACTACTGAGCGTTCTTTCTATTGTGTTGATTACCGTGTATGACTTGCATTCTCGTTTATCTGACTCTGATTTTTGATTTGCCCATTGGATTGTTTGCCCTGGATCTCTGTTTTTGGTGTTTTGACCTTTTTGCCTGTTTTTGACGACGATTTTGGATTTTGACTTCATCATTAAAGCCTGCTTGTCTTCCTTCATCCGCGAGCGTCTCAATTCTGTGATAATCATTACACCATGTAGCTTCTTTCTGCAAGCCCCTTGGAGGCCATTCCGCCAGGGAGACAGAAATCTACTTTTTCTAATTGGTATTATCAAATAAAATACCTCCCCTTATCTTTATCAGATTAACCAGAACTCTGCTGGTTCTCTGTGTGTGACGTTATGAGTGTGTGGTGAGCTGCTAACGATCAATGAGGGTTGAAAGAAGATAGCTGAACTCCTGTCATGAAAATAATTGTTTTGACCTGAGTAGATTTTGGCACTTACATGGATCAACAGCCACACTCCATCCTGGCTGCCTGTTGTTCTTCTGATTTTCATCCTTGAGCCAGGTGTACAGAGTACTGAAGTAGCTCAGCAGAGGCTGGGCATCCATCTTGGTTTGCCCGGAGACCTGCTCCAAAGCACGCGTCCAAGATTTTGACCGACCCAGCTCAAGCATCTGCCTGTCAGTAAACAAAACACTATGGCTTAGATCGTTATCCATATAACTGTATATCTGAATGTTGAATTGGAGCTATAAGGCCGATATAATACACATCTAAAAGTGCAAAGATTTTGAGTATACACAGTATGGCCAAAACTATGCAGAAACCTGATCATCTAGCTCAGCTGATCAGCTATATGAGTTTGTTGGACATATTCCCTAAACCACAGGCATCAATATGGAACCCCCCCCTTTATGGCTATAACAGCCTTCATTCTTCTAGGAAGACTTTCTACAAGATTTTGGAGTGTGTCTGTGGGTATTTCTGCCCATTCAGTCAAAAGAACATTTGTGAAGTCAGGCACTGATGCAGGATGAGAAGGCCTGGCCTGCAATTGACATTCCAGTTCTTCTCAAAGGTGTTCAGTGAGGTTAAGGTCAGGGCTCTGTGCAGGCCACAGGAGTTCTTTGGTATCAAACTTATCAATGTCTTTATGAACCTGGCTGAGATGTTGTTGCTCCTAGATGCTTCTATTTCACAATAATAGAATTTACAGTTGACTGGGGCAGATCTGGCAGGGAAGAAATTTAATCAACTGATGTGGGGCAAGGGTGGCATCCTATGATAGTGCCACATTTAAAGCCACTGAGCTCTTCAGTGCAACCTATTCTACTGCCAGTGTCTATGAAGACTGCATGGCTATATGCTTGATTTTATATACCTGTTAGCAGTGAGTGTGTCTGAAACTCCTAACCCCAATAATTAAGAGAGGTGTCCACATATATTTGGCCATACAATGTACTTCCTTTACTTTTAGCTACATTAGCCTCCAGTGCAAAGCTAAAGAAGCAAACCCTAATCTGATGAACTGTTGGGGTACTTTGGCATATCGGTGCTCTATGAACCCTAGAAGAAATTCCTCAAGCTGTGTAGCCATGAAAGCAAAGCATTCTGGATACCTGAGTTTGTTGCCTGCTTCGGTGGAGTTGGTGATGTCGCACTTGTAGAGTGGGCCAGTGTGGCCAGCCTCCTTGCAGAGCGCATCCTGAAACTGGAACTGGTATATTGTCCTTGTAAAGTATCTATGCAAGAGACAAACAAGACAGGACAGTTTTACGCAAGTATATACAATCTATACAGTGCAAAAATGAATAGATAAGTAGACTGAACGCCTCATGAAAAAGCTAGTGACTGAGTCACACAACCACAGCAGCATGACTTCTACCATCACTGTCTTGTGTTCTGGACACAAGTCACTATTGGAACCAAGTTGTTTTTCACTCATTAATTTATTTATTTAATAAGACTAACAAGCAATTTTATTACTTTTTACCTGATAAAAGAATAGTCCCCAGACACATGGAAAAGGGCAGGAGGGTCACAATACGTCTCATCTCTGGGTAAAGGCTCCACCACACCTACCAGTTCTCTCCTGTATTAAAAACAGGAATCAGCATACTATACTTTTCTGAACAAGAAAACCAACTTTAGATGGTAAATACACTAATAATCCACAGCTCCACTGGACTTTCAATGTAAAGGTGTACAATTACAGACTATAGCTCTGTATCCATGCACAATTTAAACTCTACATCATTCATCATTGGTCAATATAAGGCCTAAGCTTAAGGCGGGGGCTGGGGGACGTGTTCTCTTCAATACTGGGGGATGAATTGTTCCACGCAATCATTTGCTCTCAACATGGACTTTTTATCAGTGAGCTGTGATTGCTAAACAACTATGATTGATAAACAACTTTGGCTTAAAAAGAGAGTATCATAAGTTTAATATATATTTTCTGTCACACCTTTACGTCCCTGCACACACAAGACTCATGGGAAACGCAGTCCGTCTGCAGTCAGCATCTTTCGCTACTATAGAAGACTGACCCAGCTCAAAGTATTTTTGTCTCTTTGCCAACTGCACTTTTCTTATGTTCAAGACTGTCAAGGATGTTTAAAAATGACATTGCTGGACTGAGCATAGTGGACTAACCAAAAATATCCAGCCAACAGCATCCTGTGGGCAGTGTCTTGTGACCATTGATGAAGGACTAGAAGATAACCAACACAAACTGTGCAGCAACACAAGAGCTACTGTCTCTGATTTTACATCTAGGTTTTGCAGGAACATAGTACTGCCTAACAGAGTGGATGGTGAGTGGCCACCGTGTTTAAAAATTGCAGCAGCACTGTAGTGTCTGATCTACTTGTACCAGTGCAACACACACTAACATGCAACCACCATGTCAGTGTCACTGCAGTGCTGAGAATGATTCACCACCTAAATAATACCTGCTCTGTGGTGGTTTTATGGGGCTCCTGACTATTGAAGAACAGGGCAAAAGGGAACTAACAAAGTATACAGAGAAACAGCTGGGCTGCAGTCTGTAATTGTAAAACTACAAGTGGAGCTGATAAAATGGACAATGAGTGTAGAAAGGAAGTGGTTTTAATGCAGTGGCCAGTCAGTGTATGTGTGAATGGCCATTGCGTGCAAGCTGTTGCTGCATCGCTTACATCACTCAGAGGAAGCTTGTGTGAAACAGGCCTTATGCTACACTAATCTAGAGATCAGAGATCTGTCTGTGTAAATGGTAGTAAAGGAAAAGAAGCTTGATATTAAAGGCAAAGTGTGTGTTTAAGAAAGTCTTTCAGGACACAAAATCAGTCAGAAACTTAACTGTTCTTGGTTAACCAATGTAGCGTCTTAATACACTCAAATATGCAAGTATATGTATATGATTTACATTTTATCCATGAACTCCTATAAGGGGGTGAAAGGTTGTTGGTTAGAAGGGGAAAGGTTGTTGAATTATTTTGTTTTAATAAGTACAATGAATTTGATGTGCAGATAATGACACCCAAGCTTCTGTTGCTGAGGTTCATGTTAATGAAGATAAAGAAGCCAGTTATAACACTGTTGTGATGCCCCATTATAATTGTGACTATCTCTGGTAACCAGGAGACTGGTTTTGTTTGGTATGTTTGCTTAAATAGAATTATAAAAGAATATAAAGTGTTTAGGATAAGAAGGTTTTGTCAATTATATAATGGTGCATTCCTAATGTAACATATAAAAGCCAGTAAGTCAGTATGCCTATTTTAAACAACAAGAAAGGGAACTTCTTCATATTCAGGACTAAGAGACTTCTGTGTGACCCTAGGGCTGAGGATGAAGTGCTCTAAAATTTAACAAAAATAATTTATGATGTCAGTAATGACTAGTTCACTTTGTTGCATTAAACTTGCATGAAACTCTGACATCCTCACCGCAGAACAGTGGTGAAACCGTGAGATTTTTCACTTACTTCATCTCCCACCAGCGGAGCATCCACTGCTCTTTGGGGATGGTACCCTGGAATACCTGCCACCTCCACTCCTCCAGCATGTAGGTGAAGGGCAGAGTCGCCACAATAGTTAGAGCCTGCTTCAGCAGGAAATTAATATCCGTCTCTGAAAAAAAACACATAAGGTTACTTGATTAGACTTTAGCTAAGTATGCATCTAATTTCAGTTCAGCCACAGTCTGAGTCACTACATATTTTAGGCCTAAGCGCTTTTATTTTGGTATCCTTGTGTCATAGCCTGGCTTTCTGAGTGTTTGCCAGTTTGATGTGTCACAAAGTGTAAAAGCGTGAACAAAGTTACAAAAAGCTAAAGTAATGGTATGAGTAAAAAAAACAATTTAAATGGACAATAAAGTTGCATAGCTCACAGGGCTATACTGAAGCCCAAAGTTTGTCCATAATTTTGCTCACTTCATGTGTCTGAAACCAAATAACCACATTCAGTTTAAGTCTACGGAAAATTAAGAACTGGTTTAAAACAGTTTAAAGCAAGTGTTTGATAATTTAGATAGACAGTTCACACAATGATAACTGGCAATGTAAAGACTTCCAACAATTATTAGCTATATTCGTAATAATAATTCGTAGCTTGTAGCTGCAATGCAAAACTAAAGAAGCAAACTTGGCTGACTGACTGCATTTGTGCTAGATTTTTCGCCCATAGCTTTGAAGCGCTTCTTGTCCAGGTACAAGTATCATGCCTAAATACCTATGTCCTCTTTGAAGTCAGCGGGCAGGAGGCCCAGGGCCTGCAGGTGAGATGGGGTAGCAGCTGACAGAGACATAATCTCCCCCACTGCCTCGTGAAAGCCCTCATTGGCTCCATCCCGCAGCAGATAGGGCAGGTGGCGATAGGCCATCTGGTACTGGTTATGCCCCATTTCATGGTGGGCAGTCAAGAAATCGTCCATGTTTATCTTGGTGCACATCTTGATTCTGTATAAGGGAATGATGGACAGATGCTTTTGAATTAGATACCTCTAACATGAATTCAATGACAATTTTTGGTTTTGTGACATTTGCATAGACTGAATGGAACTGTTTTAGCAAACATGGTCAATGTGTGATCCAACTGAGATACACTGAGGCACTCTAACAGTCTGTACAGCATGAACTTGTTAGACTCAAAACATTACAAGTACACTGATGATAATGTGTTTTGTGATAATGCTCACTCTACTAAGATAAAACAGTAGTGTTGATGTCATTCGTTTACGCATTTGAACTCATTGGTATAGCATGGTGTGGAGGGCAGCAGGATTTCCCATGACCATCAGCTTGTGAAGTTCACAAAAGTTTCAACAAAGTATTTATTTACTCACACTAATAAACCTCAAACTGTAAAAATTATGAGCTTGATTTCTTTCAGTTACCAAAATGGCAAAAAGATGGTCACTGTGATTCCTTAAGAAATACCCAGGAATGTGAGGTGGCTTTTATACCTGAAGTCCTCTCGGTTTCCCATGTCCCATGCTGTAGGGTGACACACCACATTTCTCCCCTCAGGTTTCACGAACATTGAGTTAGTCCAGAAGTTGGGAAACATGGCTGACATGTTCACAGACACAAAGAACTTCTCTGCTTCTTCGAACAGTTGCAGTTCTTTCCAGCCCTGATATCAACCATAAATATTTCTTTATCACATTTAACAGTTTCCAAAAAGCTATAACTGATACACATTTTGTGCCAGTAATCACATAAAGTCCTATTTGGAGTTAGACCTTTGTACTGAAGAAAACAGAGATAACAGAGATAAAAATCAGTTTCTGATTACATGTTAGTGGATTATTTTTTTACTGAGTAAAATAAAAATCTGACCTGTGCTACCATTGCTGAGCTCACATCGATATCAGGCTTGTCTGGATAAGGGATAGATAATGAGTAAAGGTTGGTCCAAAACCTTCCCCACATATCACCTGAGGACAACAAAGCCAAGAGGTTAAAATTAAGCATGGTCATCACTTTCACATTGTGCTTTTGAAATGTATATAAAATAAATTAATTGTGTTTTTAGAAAAATTTGCATCATATATTAAATATGCAGCTCAGAGGTACACATAATGTCACAGAAGCAATGTGAAAAGAAATCCACATAATGACACAATAGTAGCCACACAATAACATAATAAAGACATTTATAGTCAGAGGTCACGAAGCTCAGAGAGACATGCAATTACTGAACTAAAGCACTATTCGAGCAGGTTTATATTTACCAGAGGTGGTCAGGTAATGTACACTACAAAGTTTAGAATCACTTCTCATATTAATAACTGCTGTTATTTTATTTTATAGTAACTCATCCAGTGTGTTCAATTTTTTAAAACTGAATATATCAAGAAGTTAAAATAATACACTGTGTTGATAAATAATATGCTTATAAATTATTCACGTGTAGTAATTCCTTGATGCCACGAGATTTGATCACCACATTTCAAATACAAGGTATTCTGGATGTTAATATTATTATGACTTCATTGTCAATGTTATACAGTTTTCATTATGAAATCATCTACATCACCATTATCAGTATCATCATTATCTACATTATTCATTTCCATCATTCTGGACACATCTAAAATTTCCTGTAAATTGAAACATGACAGTCCAGGCACGTACACATAAACACAAAGTGGCAGGCGTCACATTTAATAAAGGAATTCCCCTCACCAGGATTTTTCATTTTAGCGGGTACGCCTCTGATTTGTGCCTAGTGTCAGTGAAACCATGGCAACCAACGGTCCGCTTGAGTTCACAAACCCACAGGCGATGAGCAACCAGCGTTTTGGGCCGCAATAGAGTGGAACTGCAATGAAAGGCGTTTCCGTAAAACAAGAACGCCCACTTATCATTCATTGGCCGATATGTCTGCAAAATGTCTTCTCTCATTGGTGGATACGACTCAATGGGGAAAATACATCAGTATTTGTAAAGACGATACTAATACTGAATTAATATTGTTTCTACATATTTACATAATAAGCATTTGGCATTTAAAAACAAATATGCGTAAATATATAGCTTCTGGTGATTTGTACAGTTCTGTTTCGCAGTGTTTTCAGCAGTACTGTGCAATCTGCTCCATACCAACCATTATTTAAACTAATGTGTAATAATGGATTATAATATTAACGATTACAATATTAATGAGAAAAACCCAGAAACCATTAAGAGTTTCTGTTGGTTCTTGGGGGTTTGTAATGCGTTTTGGCTTTTCTTGATGGGTTGATAATGTAAATGAATGGTTTACCAGGTGAGCTGACTGATTCCAGATACATTTCTAATTCTATTTGGAAACTAGTGGTCTCTAATGGTAACCATTAGGAGGCAAAAACCATTAGATTTTAATCCTAATGGTCTTTATTCAGCAGAGATTACCGTGGTGCTGCCAGCTTGCACAATATAACTCTGGCAAGGTTGAGTATTGCTGACTATCAAACAACCATGTGCTTATTTTTCACAAGTTTTAAGTTCGTCCTAAAATGTTAATGTACAGTAAATTTACCGACATCATAATCTTTAATGAAAGCGCTTGTTGATCTCGACCTTATTAATCTTTCCATTTTTTTCGCGCCGTTCTGTACGAAGGCGTTTTAGGGCCATCAATAAAAATAAAAATAGTAGACTTCGAGAATAAAGTTGTAATATTTCGAGAAAAAAGTCGTGTATATATAGAATACAATCGTGATATTTTGAGAAGAAAGTAATAATATTTCGATGATAATATCGTAGAATTACGACATTAAAGTGGGATATTACCAGGAAAGGTCGCAATATTGTGGCCAAAGTCTTTGCAAAGGGAAGGCAGCACCTCCTCGTGTTAAGTGAGGGGCGTTGAGGAGCTGGTGGAGTAACACTTTCATATCGATTTCACCCATACAGAAATACTCCCTGTCTCTCCTGGCACATCAGCACCAGACTGTTGCTAGTAAAAGAAACGGCTGAGCAGGACTGACGTGCCTTCTGACTGAAACCCAGACATTCGAAGCATGTAAAAGCCATTCAAGTGACATCCTTTAGACTTTTATACTGCCGTTTTACAGTGAATCATATTGTAAGTACTTTAATTCAAGCCTTTGATGTTAATGATAGTGTTGTTTAGGCTGTTAGCTACTTTTTAGCCTGTTAGCTATAGCTGACCAGCCTAGTTCTAGTTAAGAAAAGAAGTTGTCAGTCCCTCAGTTTAAACAAAAACATTACTTCATCTGTACATTCAGTGATCCATGCGAGCAGCATGAGATTCAAAAATAAGTCCGTGAACAGCACAAGGATCTTCCGTGACATACGCAGTAATACAGAGTTCAGTTGCTGTGGGGCGGTCATAGGTGTGCGTGTATCCTGTATTTTACGGCTTCAAACGCGGCTCAGCCAATCAGCTTTTAGGACCAAAATCAGTTAAATTACAAAACCGCTCCCCATTAAAACTAATCTAGCTTTAATGGACACTGTTTGTTGTCTAATGCTGTAGACTTACCTAGTAAATGGGCTGGAAGGCCTCCATTAGAAGCAATGTGCCCGGGATAGGTTTCTTGCAGTTTGGCCCTCACGTAAGCATGAAGCTCTTTGTACAACGGCATGATCTGGAAAGTGGTAAAGTGCTCAGTGTAAATAATGTTCCAGCCTAGCGCTTTTGTAAACTATGTGCTAACTTTTTTGATTTACTGTAGATAACCTGCTTATGTATAGACAGAAGGTTTCTGATTCATCTACTTACATTCGTTCATGGAAAGAAAAAAGTCAGCATTAATGACAAGATACTGAACATACCTCGTGGTATATGCTTCTCACATCTGTCATCAGTTCATCCCGGGTGTAGCTATAAATGGGCTCGTCTATTGTCTCATAATTGGCTCTCCAGTAGTCCCCATAGTCTTTATAATCTTTAAGAAAAAAGAGCAAAGTGAATGACTGAGTTGGCCAGTAGGTAATCGTTTTTTAAAATGGAGTAAAAGTGGTGCGATCTCTATTTAGATGCCTGTTCCTGTTTGCAGATATACTCTGTAGTTATATTGTAGCCCTGGTCTACTTTGGCACATGTTGGGCTGATTTCTGAAAAACAAAAATGACGCCTACTAGCAGTTTAAATTACATTCAAGAGCCAGTAAAATATATCTAATAAGGACAGATATACAGTAGGGTCTAAAAGTCTAAAAGCATAGAAAATGTGGGGTTTCTTTTTCATTTGAACTTGGAAATAAACTTTAACCCCTTAAATCACTGGCAGGTCCAAAGTTTTATTACACATTTCTATCACCTAATAGCTCAACCAGTTTGCACTGAAGTCCCTGTAGTTACTGAATAATACGCCTTACTATGTAATAAGCCTGAGATTTTAAGGTTGTTATATTCTTTGTAATAAACAAACTTCTCAGAGGCTTTTGCACAAACGTAAAGAGTCCACTCCAGCTTGAATGCATGCTGTCCTTAAGAGGGGCCAGTCCTTGGACTAGGCAAAGAGAGAAACAGCTGCCTAGGGCCCCCTGTGAGCCATGGGTCCCATTAAAGTACAAATCAGATATGCTGTACAGGTCGATGTTAAACAACCAATTCCAACATATATGTATGTATATATATATATATATTAAAAAAACATTAGTTATTCCATGCTGTTATGTGATGGCTCAACTGTGTGTAAAGGCAAACTGGTGTGAACAAGGCAATTATTCTACATTTTAAATAGGAGGTTCTTCGTTGTGATTTTCTGGGTGTTAAGAGGGAAAATCAAATAAAGTCATTCAAGTGCAGCACAGAAATGCAAAAAAGGAAAACATTTCAAAGGTTTATCTTTGCTGGAATGAGTCATACTATTGAGTTTGGCTGCTTCGTTCTTCAGGTCCACGTAATCTTCATATAGCCACCTCATTTTCTTCCCCACTTGAACCCTCCAGCCCTCCCACACATGCAGTCGTTCGTAGTAGTCCCTGCTGTTAGCCATGATCTCTTCCAAGCCTGAGGTATAAAGAGAGTGCCAGGCACATAACTGTTAAAAAATTGCTGCCATTTTTCAGTGAAAAACTTTAAATTGCTCACTATTGTACTGTAAACTGCATTTACAGTATACTGATGTACTTTTAATGGTAATTTTACAGCAATCAATCGTATTAGGAACAGCTTACTAGTGATAAAGTAAAAGTACCATATTTCATATTTGATACATGAATTTTATAGGTCTGTAGTGTTTTTCCATAATTTAAAACCATCAGTGCACACCAGTACTGATCTAATTTGGTGCTTTCACACCATTTTGTGAAGTCTTACAAAATTATGATAAACCTGACATTGTTGCCTGCAAATCCAGTTTCTTTGGTTTATTACCCACCTAGTTGACTTATAGATTCCTTAAACCTGTGGTTGCCTGCATAAAATATCCTAAATATTTATCATAATTTCAACTCCAAAAGAAATGTAAAAGGAAATGCAGCTTAAAGTATGCATTTCATCACTGTAAGAGCACTACTGGGAAATCAAACCCATGATATCAGTGCTGCTAAGACTATCCTCAGCCAGCTGCTCTTCTGTTTGAGCTAAAGTTAAAATTTTAATTGCCCAAGAAGTATACCACCACAACTCTCTACTGCAAACTGACATCTTAGAACTCATGCTCGTAGATCTTTACTTAGGTGCTTCACAACAGCAGAGTGTTGAAGACTTCTGACAAATCGGGGCAAATCTCTGGCATTTTGCAGTCATGTTTTTGACATAACGAGAGAAATAGGAAATGGCCAGTCTCCTGTTAAACCGGCTCTGGCCTGAGTATCAGATCCTGGGCTGACGGAAGTTGTTAACCGGCATTGTAAAATGAGTTTACTGCAGCTTTATTCAAATTCTGTAATAATAACAGTAATGATAGTTTTGTGAAGTTGAAACTTAGTTAGGAACCCTGACTTAACCCTGAATATGCTCCAAGAGACAGGCCACAATTCTCCCTGAAATAATACAAAAGGTGAAATTTTTGCATTCTCTGCTGTTAAGTGTCTATGTCTGCCATTCAGAAAACCTGGGTTTGAGACCTGGTGTAGACATGTGAAGTTATGTCACTACATTGGTGCTGTAAGAATAATTTGTGGTGCTATGAGGAGCATGATGTTAAAAGGGAACCAAGAGTAGTTCAGTGTGAAATGCTTCATTCTAGAGAAACTTGCAGAGTCAGCAATGTTCATTGTGGTGGTGATAGGAACCAGACAGCTGAGGAATTTAATGCCTCTTTATGGAAAGTTATTACATGAAATAGTTATGCCGCCTGATGTTTGAGACATTGTTTTACAGTAGTTTTGGGATAAAGTTTTTAATTTAGTTTCTAAAACGTATTTTAATCAGTTTATAAAAAATAAAAAATAGTCCCCAAAGAAAACTTGTTTTTTCATATTTATCACTATTATACCATCATAAACACTACATATAAACACTCAAAAGACCTTTGTAGGTTCACTGGTGCTTTTGGATAGTAAATAAAATGGTTATATTTGTGTTGTAGATGTTGTGACACCTGGTTCCTATCACCACCACTGTAAAGAAGCCTGAGTCTGTAAATTTCTCTACAAAAGAACCATTTTACATCAAACCACTCTGAATGACTTTGTTAATGACTCCATTATGCAAAAAGTTGAAAAATTAGCACAGTTCCCCTTTAAGGTACATAAGCAGTGCAGACTGATTCAGGTGGAGCTATCAGTGAGGTTTCAGATCATTTATTTACTTTTTCTTTTTTGCTGTGTCCCAGATATATGGTATTGAATTGTATTTTGACAAACACAGTAACTTAAATCCGGCTGGCTGCCTGTAAGTCACTGTAATTCCCAGCACAGTAAGTAACTAGTAACATGCTGACAGATTTTGCTGTAAAAAAAAAGGCAAAGCAGTACTTTACCATATTTTAGTCAGGAGAAATTACCATCAATACCCAATAATTTATTGTCACTTGATTAACAATAATATACTTTATTACAGTATCATGTTGGATTCTAGTAAACAGTAATGAGCTGTATTCTCAGTAACAGTAACTTACTTTAGCTGCAAGTTCACATAATATTACATGACAATCTTTTACAGTGGAACAATCACTGACATTGTACCTTATAGGCCCAAATTTTTTGCATATGCAAAAAAAAAAAACTGTCTAATGTCCCTGATTCAACTCCTCTTTTGAAACAACATAACTCATTCAACCCATGAGTAAATAAAAGCGCTTTTGCATACTATGTGCCCCAGTTACTTTTTAAGGTGAGTTGAGTGTGTAAGAGCAAACTCTTTATAATGCTGCTGGACAGAGTGAAGAAAACAGAAAAAAATGTTCTGCGGATTGTATCTCCAAGATGAAGATGGATAAATATTTACAGATAAGTAGACATAGCAGTTAAATATAGGCAATTGATGAGTCGCTAGCATTTAGTTTGTTCAACAAAACTTTGTTTCCCGTCAGGCTACCAATGCACTGAAGCAAGTGGCAAAAGTATCAGTTATTTCTAATATTTTAGTTATCAGATTTACTAAATTTTACCAGATATTTGTCACTGCCATAGATAAACATGCATCCATGTTGGTAGTAGGCCTTAAGCTATAGCACCAGCTTCATGCAAGCACAGACACTGCTTCCAAACAACTCAAGTGCTGCCTCAATTATTCAATCAATCAAAAACTTGTGCATACAGTAAAATCCCCAAAGTACTCTTTTACTATTTTTGCATGCTGTGATTTCTCATGTTGTCTGGTACATCCACCATGTAGGTGCACTTTGTGGATTTATAGTTACTGACTGCAGCCCATCAATTGCTGCACCATTTATCAGCCCCACCCAACAGTAGGCGGGGTGGTGTTGGAAGGTCACTTTAGAGTGCTGGATAAAATATAGGCGTAGCTAATAACCTGGCAACTCTCTGGTAAAAATTTCTGGTAAAAACATTTGCATAACACTACACAGATCCGAAATCCTAGCATTGTGACATAACTGTTACTTTACTGGAAGCTAATTTGTTCCCAGAAATTGTATAACGCACTACTGGGTTATAACTCTAAGACATGCGTTATCTGTCCAGTGACAGTACCTGGTTCCAAAGTCTGACAGTCGAAGGGGTCGTCAATTTTACAGACAGTTCCTGTGCTGTAAATAGTGCTCATCTCATTCATGACTTTGGCTAGCTGCAGTACAGCAAGAGGAACAGAAAGTGGTCGTTACTGATTTATATGAAGAACAATACAGAACAATTTGCAGAGCGCAAATCAGTGTGATGTTAAAAAATATAATGTATATCCACATTCCAGGTAAGCAGTGCCATTTTTGCACAATGACGTTGCTGTACTTACATGACTGGCCTTGTCAGGTGACAATGCCCCTGACCCTTTGTCTTGAAGTGACCTCAGCTGGAGCTGAATCAATGGATCAGAGATTTGATCGATAGGGAAAGCACTGGATTCCTCGGACACTTTACTGTAGTATTCACTCCAGATAGCGCTCTGTTCCGACTTCAGAAAGAAACATATTTCTGTGTCATTCCACTCTAGTTTTAGATTACAATCATTACTTTTCTCTTGCCACACTCACTCTCCAGCTGCTTTATTAGAAATACTTGCCTTGTGCTTCCACTAACTGGCCACTTTATTAGAAAAACCTGCCTAGTACTTCCAATAGATGGCCATTTTATTGGGAACACCTGCCTTGAACTTCCACTCACTGAACACTTTATTAGAATCACCTGCCCAGAACTTCCACTAACTGGCCACTTTATCAGAAACAACTGCCTTGTACTCCCACTCACTGGCCATTTTATTAGAAATCACTACCCTGTACTTCCACTCATTGTCCACTTTATTAACAACACCTACCACTGTGCACTTTATTAGAAACCCCTGCCTTATACTTCCATTTTATTATAAGTTGATCTAACTAAGTGCACTATATAGGTGTACAGTTACAGTCTTTATCCCATCTGTTGTCATGCACAACGGCGAGTCAGCTACCCTCAACCCCTTTACTGGTCAATTTCTGACCTCAGGACCGCTGACATTATCTAGGTGGTGGACCATCTCAAAACAATAATGTTTGTGGTTGTGTTTTAGTCATAAACTAAAGTATATGAAGTAAGATTGTGGGAATTTTATATACAGTGCCGCTGTTAGAGTGAACATGGTCCTCCTCCAAAAATTACAGAACAAGAATGTATGGTCAAAAACTGACCAGTAATGAAGGCTAGAGAATGGCTTGTCCTCTAAGCATCAACAGACAGCCACCAGTCTGTACACCAGAAAACAAAGCATTATATTTGCTATGATCTACAATGTACACTAAATATGTAATGTAAAGAAATGAAAAATAGTTGACAACAGCACAATTAGAAGAAAATTATATTTTATATGAGCAAAAATATTGACAGAACACAACTACTATACACCCCGCAACCCAGAGGGATAAGCAAATTAGAAAATGTGTGTGTGTGAATACTACACAAATCAAATATTAACAGAAATCATCAAATCAGTGTTAGATCTTACTATGTTCTATGTACATTTAAGTCAGCAAATAACATGCTGTAAGAGTCGACCTTACTGACTGCTAAATTGCCACTGTCTGGCCCAAGAGTAAGGCACTTAATCCTCTCTGCTCTAGGAGGGCCATATCATAGCTGACCCTCCGCTCTGACCCCAGCATTCTAAGCTTGTATATGCAAAGAAAAGAATTTCATTGCATTGTGCAAAGTGTAAAAGTGTAATGGCAATAAAGGTGCTCAGCTTCTAAGCTTATTCATCTATTAAAATCCAGTTACTCATTTTATTTTTTGTACTTAGAAGTGGCATAGGAAGGTTCATTAAAAATAAAAATCAAGTCGCAATCATACATCATATCCTCACCTAAAATCTACCCGTTGAGTTAGTCATGTGGTTTTGCAGATGAAATATTTAGACGGGGAAGTACAACTGCACACACTGATATATTTGGTCATAGAAACTAGCACTGTTTCGTAGGAAACAGGGGCGACTTCCCTTTTTCTCATGTCTAAACGCAAACACTCACCAGTTTGGCCGAGTTCTCTGCCGTGATGTTGGTGTTGTACTCCCAGGAGGCCAAGGAATACTGGTACATGAGTCGGGACGCATCCTCGTCAAATTTCTGCAGGAACTCTCTGGCTCTCTCCTCAAGCGTCTGAGCCCAGGCCGTGGAGGCCAAGGCCAAAATCAAGAGAAAGCGTCCAGACATCCTACTACCCACCATGTTCTGCAGCACTGACAGTGTTGCTTTGCTGATTCACTACCTTATCAAGGGCTTTCTCGGCTGTACCTTTTGAACAGAACTATAAATAAGGGTGTGTCCCCCCGTGTCAGCTGCAGATTAAAGAGGACTGGACTATCAGTGCTTTTTCACTGCACAAAGTACAAGTGCTGACACTGTAGTACCAATTTTCATTTACAGCCCTGTCAGGTGGAGCCCATTCAGGGCCAGACACAAGTACAAGGGCATGCGCAGCACAAAATGTCTTAATTGGTCTGAAATTAAAGTTCACCTTACTGCACTAACTGCATGTGCAGGACTGAGGCAGGACTGTGTCTGCTATACCTCTATTAGTGGTAAACACAGTTGCTTAGGCAGATGTTTCTAAGAAAGTGAACAGTGGCAGGCCTTTCGAGTAAAGTAACCACTTTATTGAAAGTGAAAGGTATTTCTAAACGAGTGGAAGTACTAAGCAGGAGTTTCTTATAAAGTGGACAATGAGTTCAAGTACAAGGAAGGTGTTTCTAATAAAGTGGCCAGTGAGTGAAAGTACAAAGTATTTCTAAGTGAGTGAAAGTACAAGGCAGGTGTTTCTAAAGATGTGGACAGTGAGGCAGATTTTTCTAATAAAGTGTCCAGTGAGTGGGAGTGCAAGGCAGGTGTTTCTAATAAAGTGGCCAATGAGTGAAAGTACAAGGCAGCTGTTTCTAATAAAGTGGCCAGTGAGTGAAAGTACAAGGCAGGTGTTTCTAATAAAGTGGCCAGTGAGTGGGAGTGCAAGGCAGGTGTTTCTAATAAAGTGGCCAGTGAGTGAAAGTATAAGACAGGTGTTTCTAATAAAGTGGCCAGTGAGTGAAAGTACAAGGCAGGTGTTTCTAATAAAGTGGCCAGTGAGTGGGAGTACAAGGCAGGTGTTTCTAATAAAGAGGCCAGTGAGTGGAAGTATACTGGCTGGTGGAGCTAACTGGCTAACAATTAGCATGTCACACCAGCTTCGAACACAAGGGACAGTTTTTATATATAAATGTTGATTATAACAGCTCCAGAATGAATGGTTAGCTTATTATGTCTAACAGTAGGAGATCATGTACAGTAGTTATATGCTATACCAGCACATTATCTGGAGTTATTTATTGTTTGTAGCATGCTGTAATAGCTCATCAACCTCAGTATAGCTATTACTCTAATTGCCCGTGTGGGCATAGCTGGCATGGTATGCTAGTTGTTAGATAGTAATTTTTTGTTTTGTTTTGGGTTGTTTTTTTTTTTTGGATGTGCTAGGACCAGGATTGGGAGCCTGTGCTGTAGCAGACTGGGCCAGCTCTACTTTTCTAATATTCAAGACTGTCAAGGAGTGTAGTACAGTGTAAAGTGTAGTAAGTGTAGCAAAGCAAGTAGCCTACCTGTAATGATGTAAGAAACTGCCAGCTTGTTGTCTACTAGCTAGTTTGCTCGATTTATTTATTTACTGTGAAATACTAGTTACGGCATTACATAAACAGGATCATGTCATCTGCGTAGCTGGATGTTCGGCAAAAAATGTTTTTAAGTGTTTAAGATGTTTTTGCACTGCATTTTAAAATCCAGTGCATTGCTGTTACTGCAAGCAAACATTACTGTATGGCTGCTGTAAATATCAAATACAGTAACCATGTACAGTAACTTGCTGACAGAAAGTCTTGTATGTTTTTCCAAGTTGTTTTCATTTGATTCAGGCTTTTTTCACCTTTTAAATAACTTCTCATTTTCTTTTTCCCAAACTCTCATCATTTTTCACATATTGTTCTCATTTTAATGCATGTTCCTTCACTTTTAGTCTTGACAGAGACTATTGATTCCTAATCAATTGAGGATTGTAAACAGTGGGCCTTTTAGGCTCAATTAATTTCAACCTGTTGAATTCACTGTTAGTCTAAGGCTTTGTTGAGCTTCTAAGTTCACACCTTTACCATTTAGCCTTGATGACACATTCCTGCAAATCTGCACCACACTGGAGTATGTTAGCGCCAAGGAGAAGAGGACCACAGAACCTTCCAGAAGTGACTCAGCATGGATACTACTAAAACCCTACTTCCACTTTCATGAATATGACAGATTTCGTAAATATGACATGGCGATACGGTGATTTGTTGCTTACCACTTGTAAAAACCAATGTAAGCTGTTATATGACACAGCAGCAGCCTATTGTCCACCAAGTCTTTTTTTTATCTGGTGAGAATTAGGCCAGAGAATCTGTAATGAGGAAAACTGCCACTCAGTAATGCCTTCAGGTTAGTCAGACACTAGAAGGCGCTCCCAAGAGAATCCAAAATGAGTGGGTTCCTAATGAGCATTTGGAACAAAATTGTCATTTGTTGGTTAATCCTGGCTAAAAGCCAAGCCCCACCCTCCCTAGCCCTGCCTCACACATAAGAGAAGGTGGAGGGAAAAAAGGGGGCTTTTTAGGTCCTTTAAGGTCCTAAGGTTTTGCAGTTGTGGTTTTGGTTTAGTGTGAGGAAAAGGAAGTGGCTAGGCTACACCTTAAAGTGGCTCTGCTAAAGTTTCCGTCACTGGTGGCAGTCTTTGAGCCTCTAGTAAACGATGGTTTACTTCAATAAATGACACTGAAGTGAAAGCTGTAAACTTTCTAAGATATAACTATATTAAACTGGAGAAGGTTCTCTTTTGGAGATATATTAAATTGAAATATGACATGCTGTAATAGTAAACACATCACAGATCTTTGAAAATCATGATATCATGGCTCAAGAATCATGATAAAATGGTATCATGGGGCCTCCAGAGATTTCCACCCCTAGTGTACATGGGCTATTGCTGTTCAAATTCATCTAGCACATCTAACTACACTTTCATGGTGAAACACATGCTACAGTTCATCTTGCTTTCCCATTTTCTCATAATGGCAGGTGAACAGAAGTAGCAATGCTTAGTTATCAAAAGGGTAGGGGACGAATTGTGAGAGGACCTAACTTTGGGAACACAGCCACCAATCACAGGAGAAGTGCAGCCATTTATAATAGTGCACAAATACTTCAGGAGAATTTCATGATTTGCATAATTCTGTCAATAAGATGTAAACAAAGTCACTAAGAGTGGTTTAAAGGGAAATGCTTCGTTCTAGAGAAACTTAGCAAGTCAGAAATGCTCACAGTGGCGGTGATGGGAACCAAACATCTGAAAAGATTAATGCCTCTAAAAGCTCCCTCTCAGAAAAAAACGTTCATGACAGAGAGGTATATGCAGGGTGTTGTGAGGCAAAATAGTTCCCAGAGGACACGTATTTTGTCAGATTTAGCACTATTTTACCATCACCAACATTACATATAAGGCTCAGAGGACATGTGTAGGCTCCCTGGTGGTTTTGGATTGTAAATAAAATGGCTATAATTACATAGTAGGTATCGTGACCTCTGTTTCCTATCACGACCACTGTAAAGAAATCTGAGTTACTTTGCAATGAACTAGTTACATTCAACTACTCTGCATAACTTTGATTACATCTCACTGAACTTTTGAAAAATCATTCTCTTTAAGGCCATATTATAATAGGCCATGATTGTTGCTCATATTGTAATTGTGACTGCAGTATTTTTACTTATTTATTCCTTTGACATTAAGCTGTATAACCTCAAACAATAAGGTGCTAAATAAATAAATAAACCCATTTATTGTAGTGACAAGAACTTGTAGATATCTTATCAAGCCTTATCATGATTGCTGACTCAAGGTCAGATGGAAACTGTAAGATGTACAGTTCTTGTCTCATAAAGCCAGATAACAATCATGATTACACTCCTATTAAACATGATACTTTAGTCTCAGTTTGGTCTCAATGGTACATGTGTGATTAGAGCTGTTAATGATCAATGCTGTTCCTGAAAGTGTTTTTAAAACTTTTTAAATTATTAATTATCCCAGACATCCGTCTTAATATGTGTTTTGCAGTGTGTTCAATGTGTTATGTACCGTAAAAAACAAGCTTAAATAATTTAACACATTCTCTGCAGGGAAAAAAACGTACATAACAAAAATATACTTTTTTCTGATAATTTTAGAGCACATATTTTATTTTCTTGCTGATTTTAACATATCGGACAAAATGAAATATAAAATATAAATCTGCCGTAACTTTTGCACAGACCGAAGTTTAAATTCAGCAGATACACAATAGGGGTGCATTAGAGTGTGCTCTCTGTAGGGGGCGCCAAAACTTTTGCTCACAACGTTCAAAAGTTTGGTGTCAGTGTTTTTAAACAAACTAAAACAATTTGATTGCAAATAAGTGACTCTAATATGTTAGTCTTGTGCAGCCTCACCGTTTTCAAATACTTGGTGGGACACTAGGAAGCTGTAAATAAAAATGAAGAAATTTTAGATGTGTCCAAATGATGAACTGAGTCAAAGATGATTCTAAAATTACTAAAAAAACTGCAAAGCATCAAGAAAGAAGTTCAAATAAAATTAATATTCAGAATCTTGATGATTTTTCATAATTCAGGTTAAATCTCAAGGCAGATTACTTGTGTATTTGTGTAGTATTTATCATTCTATTCATTTCTTGTTCACAGAATTTTTTAAATGAAACGTTTAAAAATATATTTTGGTGAATTATTTGTAATATTTGAATCCTCATTGTATAAGCTATGACTTTGTAAAATATATTCTAATTACAGCAAGTAATTTTAAACTAAATCTGCATGTTTATGAAAGCATTGTTTAATGGAAAGTGCTTTGGTGCTTCCATCTAGTGTCCAAACTATTACATAGCAGCTGCCTTTGTGTACAACTGCATTGCTGCAAGACCCAAACTTCAGAGCACTGGTTTTCTATTGGCAATTTATATGCTACTTTGTATATATAAGGTCAGTGAATATAAACTTAAAGATGTCATATTTTGTACTTTTTTGTAGTATATATTGTATTGTGCTGTGAAAAAATATTTGCCCCTTCTTGATTTCTTACACTTTGCATGTTTGTCATATGTAATGGTGTCATATCGTCTATTAAAATGTAATATAAGGCAAATACAACAGGAGTAAACACAAAATTCAGTTTTTTAAATGATTATTTCATTTATTAAAGGAAACACCAAATGGCCCTGTA